GAATTGTGTCAATTGCTAACTTCTTATCGGAGCGACAGAAGACACATGCAGAACATCTCAAAGCTCAGAGGGGACAGAGCTTTCTCTGTCGTGGGTCCTAAGTTATGGAATGACCTGCCTTTGCAGGTCAGAGAGGCCCCTTCACTGTCCACTTTTAAAGCTCGTCTTAAAACCCATTTATTTTACTTGGCTTTCAACTCCAGCGAAATCTAGTTTTATATTGTATGTTTGTTGTTTTAAACTGTATTTGTTTTTATCTATTTTATGTACAGCACTTTGTTTCAGCTGTGGTTGTTTTAAAGTGCTTTATAAATAAAGTTGGTATGTTATGGTAGTCTGAAAGCCCATCTGTTTAGAGTTGCCTCTGATCAGCAGTAAGTGGAACATTGAGGAATATTGATCTGCATTCTGCTTGATGATTTCGATTAAAGCATACCCAGAGCAGGTCGACTTCGCACATCAGAGTAGGAGCTGACAAAGTTGTCAGCCTCTTCCGGTGTGAAGATGCTGGGCTGAATGAAGCTCAGCAGGGAGTAGAGCTCCTGCAGGTTGTTCTGAATGGGAGTCCCTGTGAGCAGGAGTCTGAAACCAACTGAAAACTAAGCAAGAAACACACACAAAAAAAAAACTGAGCTGATGTTCAGAGAAAGTATGAATGAGACACATTAGAAGACAAGCAGAGAAGAGGCTCTTCAAGACACGATGCAGTACCTCTGTCAAGGTTTTGTGCAACAGAGAGTTTTGGTTCTTCAGCCGGTGAGCTTCGTCCACAACGAGCACCTCCCACCTCCACCTGAGAAATGAGAGAATATGGTGGGACGCGTCATAAAGTGATCGCACAAGCAGCACTGGTCCTGCGATGTCGGCAGAAATCGTTTCATTCATTTGGTCTCTTTAACAATCCACCTCAGTCACAACTCAGACTTCAACAAAGCCACGTGAACGAGAACCTACTGACCTTTTCAAGAACGAGGCATCTCTGAGGCACAGCTGCGGATAAAATAATGACATGTATACGTGTTCAAGGTTCAAGCCAACGAAACTTTCAGCCATTTTGTTTTCGCCCAGCAGACGCAGACCTCGTAGGTGGTGAGGAGAACCTGGAAGTTCTGGGCTGTTTGTTCCCTCTGAATCTCAGCCCGTCTCTCTTTGTCTCCTTTGTAGCACAGCACAGTCAGAGACGGAGCAAAGCTGTGAAATGTGTTACAACTGGAATCATTTATACAAGAAGCACTTACAGCTAAAGCACCGACAAGTTTGACTTCTACCTTTCCAGCTCCTTTCTCCAGTTCTCCATGACAGAGAGGGGGCTCAGCACCAGAAACGGACCTTTCTTCCCCAGAGCTCCTGACTGGTACACCAGCAGAGAGATGGTCTGGAGGAGAAGTTAATCAAATGTGAACAAAAGGAGCAGAACTGCTCCTGTTTCCAAACAACACATTGAATTTCTTGACATTCTGCTCTCTTTTTTTTTTGAGGTTTCCACAGAAATTCAAACTGAAAATTTTACAAAAAAAGAGGGAAAAAAAGTGGATAACAGTAACCAGAACCAGGAGTTCTGATTACTTTCAATAAATCAACAGATTTCCTGACAAATCTCCAGAAATTTGAGAACTGAACTCAAATTTCTTGGGTAATTTTATCTGCTCAAATAAATCCAGTTTTAGCAGAAGCAAATTGATAACTTATGAGGCATGTTTTCCATGATAATAAAAATGCATTTACTTGTTTCTGACTGTATTCATCAGACAGTTTATCATTTATCAGTAAAAATATCTTATTACACAGATTTTGATTTATTGTTATCTCAATACATTTCTGTTGTTCCCAAAAATTTTTTACTAAAACATTATTTTTACCATTTTCTCCACTGTTTTGTTTTTTGCCGAAAGAGCATCAATAAATATCAGTAAATTCAAAAATATGATTGACATAAAGCTTCTGTGTGCAGTTTGGTGGCAAAAAAAAAAATCAAATTTCTTCAAATAAGTGGCATCCTGCAGAAGCTTATTTCAAATAGGAATAGCAGCATTTGTGTTTGTGGGGCTACGAATGCTGCACCGTGCAGTCACAGAGACACAGTTAACTTAAATAGTTTTTATTGTCACTTTAGAACAGCAGAATGTCATGATACAATTCTAAAAACTTTTATCATTAGCACCACAGTGTTTTGCAAACAAAAATAATCCTCGCAATGTGTATAACTCACAAAGAAAATAAATTACAAGCTCTGAAACATGCAAGAAATTGTCCTACAGCTTTGATATCATCCAAAAAAAATTGCACTATGGAGATTCATATAGTCTAAAATTGCTGAATCGTATGCACACCTGGCAGGTTTTACCCAAACCCATCTCATCCCCCAGGATGCAGCCCTGCTGGCATTTGAGGCTCTGGCTCAGCCACTGCACCCCGTCCAGCTGGTAGGCTCTCAGCTGTATCCCTGGAAACAAGCAGGTCACCCACAGACCGTCACGAGCAAACCACTGGTCTGCAGACACGCACAGCTTTTAAAAGCCACAGAGCTCTAGAAACACATGTTGTAACTAAAGGGAACGCTGGGTCACTGTTTGAATGGACGCACACAAAGTTAGTAACTTTTCTCTGACAGTCAGTCAACAGGCCTCCGTACCTCGTAAACCAAAGGTCTGCAGCTCGCGCTGGCTGAGAGCCGTCTTCTTTTTCTCGGTTACTGTGTTTCTTATCTTCCTCAATATGTCAGACATGTTTGCTCACTAAAGGGAACAGGATGAGTTTATATGTCGTCGTGAAGCAGACATGTACAGACGGGAAGCTCGCGCTCTATTTTCTCAATGGAAGACTTCCGGGTCGGGTCACGTGATGGTGACGAAAGCGCGAGCGCGATTTTTAAAGTGGTAGTGTTCAATGTTTTCCAGCCACACAAAGTCACTGTATGGCACCATCAAGTAACTTTTGCCTTCAGTTACTATAAGTAGAAATTAAATATAAGTTTTGCTCTAAAAATATATATATATATATTAAAAATATTCCATTTGAAATTCCTTAAATTTAAAGATGAAATCTTTTTGCATAGGTTTGAGTGGTAATGTATTGAGCGACATACAGAAATAATGTCAGAAATCTTCACATATGCAGATGAGTAACTTCAACTTCACTGGAACAAATTATGGACCGAAGTGAACAAAAAAAATGTTCCATTTAAAAGTATCAGATACTATAAAGGATCTTATTTTAACTTCTTAACAGGAACCATATTTGCAATGTGCCTTTATTTCTGTTTTTTGTGTTTTATCTCTCTTTAGGTCAGTGGATAAGGTCTGCAATGAAACAATCAACAACGTCACCATATTTTCCTCTGGAAACTGGGGATTCATTTATCAACATTTGTTATTTAAATCAGATTATTTATTATTATTATTATTATTATCAAGGATCAAACATTTGTAAAATACAAAATCAGTGTCATATTTTGAGATATGATTTCATCTGGTAAATTGTTGAAATGTTTGTTGTCTAATAAATAAGTAGCTCATTCTTGTCTGGGCAAACATAAATTGTTCAGATTTAATACGACTTTTTATTAAAGAGATTGTTTTTGTTCCCAGTATGTAAAAAAAAAGAAAAGAAAAGAAAAGAAAAAGAAGAAGTACAGAAGAGACAATTTTATAAAAGTACAATCACACATCTATTAGTCTTATCAAGAATAATCTTTTTCGTCTGTGACTGTCATCTTGATATATTTTGGGTGATTTGGTGATACAGTATTGAGCATTCATAATGTTTAAATTGGAACGGTGTCCTATCCAGTGCCACTTGTAGAAATAGGCACCAGTTTGAGGATAAGAAGATGTGAAAAATTAAGGGATTTTAAGTATTCATCATTGCTGAATATTTAGAGTGATGTCTCTGCAACAAAGGCAAAAGTCTTTTTTTTTCCACAGTTTGAGCATGTAGAGTTGTTTTGTTTTGTTACACTGAGGAGTTCATTAGTAAATAGATGCACTTCCGGTGTTGCAACAGTGCCACCTACTGGCGCCAATTATTTATCCAGTCTGCATGGTGTCGAGATTTTCTGTTCAACTCACTAACTCTCATGGTGAGACTGTTGCTGTTAAACAGACCACAGGAGAGAAGATTGCTGGTTATGAAGCATGTTATGAAATAACCAAATGTTATGGTATTTTACTAAATAATCTTCCTTTATCAGTTGAGCAGGGCTGGATTTAGGAGGCTGCGGGGCCCTGGGCTTGAGTTTTTTTTTTTTTGTTTTTTGTTTTACCAGCGTTACACTGAGAAGTAGTTAATATCTTTAGCTCAGCACATGCTCAGTTCCACCAGGTGTTTGCTAATTGCTGCTGGCTAGTCTGAAGGAGCTGAGTGGAGGAGTCGCTATGGAGACCTGCTCTGTGAGGAGGAAGCATAATGGAAACTGCAGCTCTGAGGAGGAGCTGCACCTCGAAGCTAAGTTAATGGATGCCACGGAAAGACTAAAATATGCATGACAGAATCAAGACAACACTCCAGGTATGTGCTTCATGAGAGAATAACATAACATGATTTAACCCTCTCCAGGCAGATGTTGCAGATTTGCAACAGCTCAGTGCTACTTTGCTAGACTTTGCAAGTAATTTGAGCCTGAGAGGGTTAATGCTTGAAAAGGGGGATTTTTCACAATACTCTAAGTCTATTTGCATGCTGGATTATGATGCTTTTTCAGTGATGGCTTCTTCCTCTCTGAGCAGCTTTCAGAATAGGACTTGCTTTAATGTGGATGATGACAGTCTCTCCATCTGTTGCTTTTCTTTTGAGATTGATCTGCACATTCTCATGTTCAACTCTAGAGCGCAGAAGCATTCAACATTTCCATGGTGTTCATACTTGCGTATTATTGCTCGAAACGACTACCCAGGCACCTTCAAATATCTGGGAGTCAAACCGAAGGATGAACCGGACTTTTGCTAAGGTTCAATTCTCTTCCTGAGATGTTGCCCGTTTCCTCTCAAAATAAGTCATTCCTGAAAGATTTAATGTATTTATTTATTTATTTATTTTACAGATATTTACACATAAAATAATTAAAAGGCCACCGTTATAAAGATTTACTTCAAGATGATCATCAGAGTCGAGGAGGGAAAAAATTAAAAATCAGCTGGATTCAAAAGGCACAAAATGGGAATCTGTCAATGTAAATTTTTTTTTTTGCCACTGGAAACGGGAAGTTTTGAGAAGCTTCATCCATCCCGGTCTTTAGTATCCTACATTTATCCAACAGGTTTTGCCCCAAACATCTGGGGGGTTCACTTAATGCAGATAGACACACCTTTCATGATCGCCTCCCTGGAAAATAATCACACCGTTTAGAAGACGACTTGATGTTTATGTTCATGGAGAATATTTGAACAAATAGGGCTATAAGCTGACCAACCTGGCACAGGGGATGTAGGAGAGACTGTACCTGCAAACAAAACACGGTTCCCGTTATAAAAGGTCATCCGATTTCACGCAGAAGCTAATGAGCTGCAACAGATGAGAGATTAAGGGCTTACCAGGAAAAGGACAAGATCTGCAAAATGCAAAATAATAAAGCAAGCCCAAAGTTCTTCCACTGAAAGAAAAAAAAATACGATAAGTGACTACAGAAAGTTTTTATAGCTGAATAGCAGGACCACTGTTTTGTGCAAAGTTTGGAGAGAAAATGCAGATTTAGTCTGAAGTTGATATGCATAAATGTCAAAAAAAAAAAAAAAAAATATATATATATATATATATATATATATATATATATAATATATATATATATATATATATATATATATATATAAATATATATATATATATATATATATAAAAAAAATTCCCTTCTCACCCACCGCGGGTGGTTCTTATCCTCTGAGCTCGGGTCCTCTACCAGAGGCCTGGGAGCTTGAGGGTTCTGCGCAGTATCTTGGCTGTGCCAAGGACTGCACATTTCTGGACTGAGATGTCTGATGTTCCTGGGATCTGTTGTAGCCACTGCTCCAGTTTGGGGGTTACTGCCCCGAGGGCCCCGATGACCACAGGCACCACTGTGGTCTTCACCTTCCAGGCCCTCTCCAGTTCCTCCCTGAGGCCCTGGTATTTCTCTAGTTTCTCGTGCTCCTTTTTCCTGATGTTGCAATCACTTGGTATTGCTACATCTACCACAACGGCTTTCCTCTGTTGTTTATCCACTACGACAATGTCTGGTTGGTTCGCCATTACCATTTTGTCTGTCTGGATCTGGAAGTCCCACAGGATCTTAGCTCTGGTGTTCTCTACCACCTTTGGGGGTGTTTCCCACTTTGATCTCGGGGTTTCCAGTCCATATTCTGCACAGATGTCTGTACACTATGCCTGCCACTTGGTTATGTCGCTCCATGTACGCTTTCCCTGCCAGTATCTTGCACCCTGCTGTGATGTGCTGGACTGTTCAGGGGCCTCCTTGCACAACCTACACCTTGGGTCTTGTCTGGTGTGGTAGATCTGGGCCTCTATTGCTCTGGTGTTTAGGGCCTGTTCCTGGGCGGCCAGGATGAGGGCCTCTGTGCTGTCCTTGAGTCCAGCTTTTTCCAGCCATTGGTAGGATTTACTGATATCAGCCACTTGGGTTATTTGCTGGTGGTACATCCCATGTAGGGGTTTGTCCTCCCATGATGGTATCTCTGGCACCTCAACCTCCGTTCCCTGTTGTCTGAGACATTCACTGAGCACATTGTCTGTTGAGGCTTTGTCCCTGATGTATTTATGGATCTTAGTTGTTTCGTCCTGGACAGTGGTTCTCACACTCACTAGTCCTCTGCCTCCTTCCTTGCGGCTCGTGTACAGTCTCAGGGTGCTGGATTTGGGATGGAACCCTCCATGCATTGTTAGTAGCTTTCTGGTCTTAATATCTGTGGCTTTTATCTCCTCTTTGGCCAGCTAATTATTCCAGCAGGGTATCTGATTACTGGCAAGGCATAGCTGTTTATCGCACGGATTTTGTTCTTGCCATTGAGCTGGCTTCTCAGGACTTGCCTTATTCGTTGGAGGTATTTAGCTGTGGCTCCTTTCCTTGTGACCTCATCGAGGTTGCCATTTGCTTGTGGTATACCTAGGTACTTGTAACTGTCCTCTATGTCTGCTATTGTTCCTTCTGGGAGTGAGACCCCTTCTGTGTGGATGACCTTCCCCTCTTGTGACCAGCCGACCACATTTCTCTAGTCCGAATGACATCCCAATGTCAGTGCTGTAGATCCTGGTGGTGTGGATCAGTGAGTCGATGTCTCGCTCACACTTGGCGTACAGCTTGATGTCATCCATGTAGAGTAGGTGACTGATATTGGCCCCATTTTTGAGTCTGTATCCGTAGCCAGTCTTGTTGATAACTTGGCTGAGGGGGTTCAGGCCTATGCAGAACAGTAGCGGGGACAGAGCATCTCCTTGGTATATGCCACATTTGATGGACACTTGTGCAAGTGGTTTGCAGTTGGCTTCAAGGGTGGTTTTCCACAGCCTCATCGA